TGGAGTCGGTTCCAGTAGATAAGGCGAAATGAGCTTCACAGAAATACTTCAGCTCACAGAGAATAGAAGGAAGAGTTATTAGAGTATTACCATTTATGCTCCCTAATGACTTAAATTCAGCGGGAGAGCTGGTAGCACTGTAACACAGGAACTGGACTGCTAACCACAAGGTCGGCAACTCAAGTCCAACAGCCACTTGGTGAGAGAAAAAGAAAGCAAGCTTTCTGCTCCCATGAAGATTTCCAGCCTCAGAAGTCCTACATAGGGTCCCATGAGGTGGAACTGACCCAATGGCACAACAACAGACTTACACACACCTCCTTTTGTGCTGCAGCAGCATAATCTAATCACTGGACTGCTAACCTAAAGGCCAGTGATTCAAACCCACCAGCTGCTCCTAGGAAACCCTTTACAGGGTAGCACTGGACAACAAGGCTGGCAGTTCAAACTCACTAGCAGCTCCTCAGAACCCTATACAGAGCTGCTATGAGTTAGAAGTGACCGGATGGAGCTTCACCACCACCAAACGTGTCAGAACTGACAGAATGACCCTTAATGACGACTTACTAGATGTAGGCCTGGAGGAGCTAAGACTTTCTTTATTATTTATCATAATAAAGAGTCTCATCAGCACCTGTGAAAATGAAGTCATTTACGTTTCAAGATACAACTACATACTTACATAAGGTTAAACATGTTAGCTATACTGTTGATGCATAACTAGCAAAACGCAGACTTGAAAACTACATACCAAAAACCTGATTTCCTCAACAAATTAAATACAAAGGAGAAAGAGAAATTGACTAGAAATGTTAGATTAAAAGCGATGAAACCATCAACACTCTTGGAAGCAACAGTCAAGAAATCAAACGATGTACTGCATTAGGCAAATTTGCTGCACAAGACCTCTTTAAAGTGTTGAAGAGCAAAGACATCAGCTTGAGGACTAAGGTGTGCTTGATCCAAGCCATGGTATTTTCAATAACCTCATATGCATGCAAAAGCTAGACAGTGAATAAGGAAGACCATAGAAGAACTGATGCATTTGAGTTATGGTGTTGGAGGAGAATATTGAAAGTGCCATGGGCTGCCAAAAGAACCAACAGATCTGTGCTGGAAGAAGTGCAGCCAGAATGCTCCCTGAGGCCAGGATGGCCGGACTTCATCTCTTATACTTGGGACATATTGTCAGGAGGGGCCAGTCCGTAGAGAAGGATACCATGTTTTGCAAAATGGAGGGCTGGAGAAAAAGAAGACTCTCAACAAGATAGATTGGCTCAGTGGCAGCAGCAATCGGCTCAAATGTAGCAATGATTGTGAGGTTGGTGCAGGACTGGACATGATGCCCTTCAGCATATACTGTTAACTGGTATGCAGAATAGCATCTTTAATATAGTTCTTTATGAAAAAACAAATAAAAGGGATACACACTCTATCATAAAAAGTTATTCAATTACGATAAAAGTTCCAGAAGTTTAGATTTACAGGTAACAGGATAATAATTAATATTTTTAACACCTTTTCCTTAAAACAAACTATAATTATTTTTTTAGTATGAAGAAAATTACTGACAAAATATGTAAATTCTGACTATCAAAGGAGGGGGAGGGTTGTGAGGCAAATAAATAATTTCAGCAAGATGATTAAGGAAGTTTTAATTATTGAAAATAACAAATTATTTAAGGCAGATCAAAAACTTTCCCTGAAGCGACTAGTAACTCAATTAACAGTGAGGCTGGCTAAGGAGCAACACTGTACCTGACGATCGTTCATGAGAGCTGCTGAGGGAGCTGAGGACTCAGACGAGCCTTTTCATTAACTCACAGACAGAGATGGGAAAGACGGAGACAGAAACAGCAAAGCTGATTTTATAATCATAAAACTCACTAACAATTAGCAGGGCCAGAAAAAGCAGTTACAGAAAAGACAGGTTTGTTACAAAGACTAGGTTGTTCTCTCTAACAGCTCTTTCCTGGAGGTCTCATTAAAGCACAGCATGGATGAGAGTTAGTTGCAGTCAATTTAGCTAATGCAAAGCAAACAGAAAAAAAGCATTTCATACAGCCTAATGGGGAAGCTTTGCAGTCCATTTAATAAAAGCGCTGATAGCAGACAGTAAATAACCTGCTAATTGTTACTGTTGTTGTTTAAGTACTGTGGAGTTGGTTCCTACTCATAGCAACCCTATCTATGGTATCCACAGGGTGGCTGGTGAGTCTGAACTGCCAACCTAGAAATTCAAATCAACCTTGCAGCCCAGTGCTTCATCCCAGAGTGCCACACCAGGACTTGCAAGTCAAGTTCAAATGAGAATGCTTTCCTATTCTCTGTAACTAGCCTTGCATCAAAACTGCTAAACAAAATGTCAAACCTACCAGTTGCTCTGCTGGAAAAAGATGTGGCAGTCTGCTTCCATAAGGATTCCAGCTTTGAAAATCACATAGGGGCAGTTCCACTCTGGCCTACACAGTTGCTCTGAGTCAGAATGAACTTGGGGCCAATGGGTTTGCTTTTGAGTGTTTACACTGAGAGCAGCCAAAGTTCAAAGGTTAATGCTTCCATGTTCTCCATCACTAGCCTTGCATCTCCCACTCCCCAGTCTTCCAATATGAGGTCTTGAGAACCACAAGATTCTAAAGAGATGCCAAAAAATAAAAAAGGGAAATGCTAAAGAAAAAAGCAAAATGTAACCATGATACAAAGCACATTGGTGGGCCTAAGAAGGTGTTAAGACTTTTGCTTCTACAAAGGTTAGCGTGCCATATCATTAGAGAAAAAACAAACACGCTCAGATCCTTTTTGGAATAGGAATTGAACTGATCATTGGAAATTTAAAAAATTCAAACAGGGATTTTTTAAGGCAAAGACGACAAGCAGAAACAACACTCTCAACTACAAGTATGCATTAGCTTAATGCCTTTGTTACACTGTCTAACTGCATATGAACCCACAGTCCCACAGGATTTTTTTTTTTAAAATAAAGGAAAGCAGGTCCTTTGTTTACTATTTCCCCCTAATAATGTAAAAAGGCCCAAGCTCAGATTCTTGCAATACTGGACCATGGATGGGAGATCGGCAGGTGAGGCAGAGAACACGGCTCTCAGCCTTAGTCGAGCAGGTAAGTTGGGATGGAGGTTTCAGGGGAGAGGACGAAGGCCTGGGTAGCTCCTGCCGTTGCTCCTGTTGTTCAGGCGGGCTGAACAGTGGGTGGAGCTCCCTCCTGACACTCCAATCCTCTGGCCTTCACCAGCACCAAGGCATCAGCAGAGGTGGGGATGAGGACGACATGAAGTGGACTCCCATGGGTTTTAATATGGCACTCACCAACATCCCAATCACAGAATGTCCACCTTCACTGAATGGATCATGAACATTAAGCATACCTGTATTTTATAATTTTTTTTTAACGCATACCTGTATTTTATCATATTTTAAAGGCACAAAAATTTCATCTATCTAACACAATTAGGATTTTTTAAAGTCTCTACCTTTTGGTAGTGTAGTG